GTTCCTTTAAACCCTGATGTGCCGGAAAGAATAGTAAAGATAGGCACCAAACTCACAGAAGAAGAACGAGCAGAGCTTCTGGAGTTCTTGAGGGTCAATCAAGATGTGTTCGCGTGGACTACTGATGAAATGCCTGGCATCCCGGCAGAGTTAACAGTCCACAAACTCAGCACAGATCCTACCAGAAGGCTGGTGGTGCAGAAACGTCGCCTTTTTGGCCCAGAGAAACAAGCCGCCATAGATGAGGAGATACAAAAGCTATTACAGGCAGGCTTCATTAGAAGAATGGAGTACTCTGAGTGGGTGTCTAACCCTGTGCTCGTCAAAAAGCCAAATGGCAAGTGGAGGATGTGTATTGACTTCACCAACCTCAATGATGCGTGTCCAAAAGACCCTCATCCCTTGCCAAACGTCGAGAAGTTAGTGGAGTGGGCAGCTGGGCATGAACGGATGAGTTTTCTTGACGCCAGCTCGGGCTATCACCAGGTTCAATTGCTGTTGGACGACCAGGAGAAAACAACTTTTTACGCTGGTGATGCAATCTACTGCTATGTCATGATGCCGTTTGGCCTCAAAAATGCTGGAGCAACATACCAGAAGCTGGTGCAAATCATCTTTAAGCTCCAGATCAGCAGAAACATAGAAGTATATGTGGATGACATGATAGTCACCAGTGTGCGAGCTGAGGATCACATTGACGACCTGGACGAAACATTTCAAAACTTGCGTCCAGCTCAAATGAAATTGAATCCCTTGAAATGCACGTTTGCTGTAGAATCAGGGAAATTCCTAGGGTGCGTGGTATCCAAGAAAGGAATCGAAGTAAACCCAGAGAAGGTTGAGGCCGTTCAGCAGATGGAGCCGCCAAGGACTGTCAAAGACGTGCAGCGTTTGACAGGCCGTGTTGCTGCGCTGCACAGGTTTATAGCCAGGTCGGCAGAAAGATGCCTCCCATTTTTCAAGGCCCTGCGGGAGCCCAAGAACTTTCAATGGACAGATGCGTGTCAGCAGGCCTTTGACGAGCTCAAACTATACTTGGCATCAGCGCCCCTGCTATCCAAGCCTGTGGAGGGGGAAAGCTTGTATCTGTATTTAGGGGTTACAGCAGAGGCGATTAGCTCGGTCTTACTCAGGGAAGAGAATAAGAATCAGAAGCCTATCTGTTATGTGAGCAAAGTCTTACAAGGCGCCGAGCAGAATTACCCAGTAGCAGAAAAGGCCGCTTTTGCCTTGGTTTACACAGCCCGTAAGCTGAGAGCTTACTTCCAATCACATCAGATTGTCGTCTATACCGATCTACCATTGAGAAAAATATTGCAGAAACCTGAACTCTCTGGTCGGCTTATTGGGTGGAGCGTCGAGCTGAGTGAATATGACCTAAAGTTTCAGCCGCGCACAACCATAAAAGGCCAGGCCATTGCAGACTTTCTGGTAGAATGCATCTCGGCGACGGAAGGAGACAAGGCACTTGATTACCCAGCCTGGGTTCTGTATGTTGATGGAGCTGCTAACGTTGAAGGGTCAGGTGCTGGAGCTGTGTTACTGGGCCCTGATGGCTTCAAGTCCGAGTACGCACTAAGGTTTAAGTTTCAGACGACCAATAATGCTGCAGAATATGAAGCCCTCATATATGGATTGAAGCTGGCGGCCGAGCTGAAGGTACAAAGCATTCAGGTCTTCAGCGACTCTCAACTCGTCGTCCACCAAGTGAATGGTAGTTGCGACATCAGGGATCCCCAGCTCGGTCGTTATGCCTCTGTGGTCAACAGATTGAAGTCAAGGTTCGCTTCATTTCAGATTGACAAAATACCGCGGGCAGATAACCACCGAGCTGATGAGCTGTCAAAGTTGGCCTCCTCGCAGGACATTAACCCTCAAAGATCAACAATCGTCGAGGTGCTTGACACACCAAGTTACACTGATTTCACAGTCGACTGTCAACTGCTCAGTACAGATCCCTCTACACCGAGCTAGACTACACCACTCATAAATTATCTGCAAAGTGGCAAGTTACCTGAAGATCTGTCCACTGCGAAAACGATTAAACGAAGGGCAGCACATTTCACTTTGTTAGATAACCACCTCTACAAACGTGCAGCCTCAATGCCCCTCTTACGCTGCCTTACTCCTTATGAAGCTGAATATGTCGTGAGAGAAGTTCACGAGGGAGTTTGTGGCACGCACATTGGTGGCAGAACTTTAGCCCGGAAACTCTTAAGGCATGGTTATTACTAGCCCACTATGGTCGAGGACGCACAGAATTATGTCAAAAAGTGCCCGACCTGCCAGTTCAATGCTGATGATATTCACATGCCAGGTACCCGAGCTCGTCCTATAGTTTATGCTAACTTAGTGACTGTCTCTGAACTGAGCATGAGTGCCTTCCTTTAAACAGGGGAAATGCTATCATCTCTTACGTCTCCCTGGCCCTTCGCTCAATGGGGTGTCGACCTGCTCGGCTCCTTCATCAAAGGCAAAGGAGGCTGCACTTTCCTGGTCGTTGCCGTGGACTACTTCACTAAGTGGATAGAAGCTAAACCACTGTCCACGACAACAGAAAGAAAAATAGAAGAATTCTTGTTCAATTCAGTATTATGCAGGTATTCTTTGGTGACCGAGGTCATAAAATGTAAGCAAATGCGATTTGTAGCTCAGCTCGCTAATCTGTGTGCAGGATCGGCATACCTAAGCGAATTATCGCCGACAATGGGCCACAGTTCCGAGCAGCAGCACTGAGATCGTTTTGTGACGACTATGGCATTGAGCTCGCTTTGACATCCGTGTATGCTCCACAATCCAACGGGCAAGCTGAGTCCGCCAATAAAATCGTCTTGCGAGGACTCAAGACACGTGTTTTGGCTACGCATTCTAATTGGGTTGACGAGCTCAATAAAGTGCTTTGGTCTTGTCGCACCACGCCCAGCTCGGCCACAGGCGAAACACCTTTCAGCCTGGCTTATGGAGCTGAGGCCGTCATCCCAGTAGAGATTGGATTACCATCTGAACGAGCAGGCCGGCATGACGATCACAACAATGAGCAACTGTTGAGAGAAAACCTGGACTTCGTGGAAGAGGTCAGGGAGATGTCTAGAATAAGGAACACGGCGCATCAAAGTCGTGTGGCAAAATTTTACAATAAAAGGGTTCGAGCTCGCCAGTTTCAAGTCGCCGACCTGGTTCTACGCAAAGCTGGATTGACAAACACTTACTCGCACATGGGCAAGCTCGCTCCTAATTGGGAAGGCCCCTACGTGGTGGTTCAAATTAAACGACCTGGGTCTTATGTGTTAGCAAATATACAAGGACGTCAGTTGCCTTACATTTGGAACATACACAATCTTAGAAAGTTTTACAGTTAATAAGTGCTCTGCCGTTTTATTCACACTGTTATCCAGCAATTGTAAATGACAATGTACAGAAAATGCGAATGAGAATACAACAATTTCAAAAGGAAATTCATATTTGCATTTCATCAAAGTTTTTGCATTTGACATACATTGGGGATAGATCCTTTGATCAAATACCAAAAATACAAAAGCAAAGTACAAAAAATCAAAAGAAACAACCCTAAATCTAGTCATCCGTCAGATCGACGGGCATGGATGCGTCCGTAGCAGCTGCAGGAAAGCGAGCTGGAGGAGATCAGGCAACGGGCTCGGAGGCTGGCGCGTTGACTAGCGAGCTGGATGGCGCAGCAGCGGGCTGAGAGTTGGGTGGGGTGCTTGAAGGCTCCTGCTCAGCTACAGGAGCACCCTCTACCCATGCATCAAAAGAGGGCAGTCCTACCGGGTCCTCCCCGTCCTCCAGAATGGACGGTGGCCAGACGGGCACGCCCTCCTCGTTCAAATCCCATCTTAGCCTCACAGTTGCATCAGCGAGGGGAGCAAGGCTCTTACCCTGCTCGTCTAGCTCTTCCTCGTCAAAGAAGACCAGCTCATGTATTGGAAAATCCGGGCAGTGTTGCAGTACTTTCCCACGGATCTCGTTGTAGATCTCCGTGGTTACATTTGCCGACGCCACCGCCACGGCGTCCTGAAACGCAGCCAAGCCAACAAACCATTCCGCCCCTTGAGCCTGGGCGATGGCAATAGAACGAGCATGGGAAGCCTTCAGCTCGTTCAGCGCCTCCCCGGCAGCAGCAAGGTTTCGGTCCGCCTCGCCGACTTGGTGCCTAAGGGAGCTCAGCTCGTGCTGAGCACGATCCCTGTCGGCCTCAGCCTCCTTTGCCCTCTCCTCAACCCTGGCGGCCTCATCCCTTGCCGCCTGTATTCCGCTCTCTCTCTCAGCTCGAGCTCGCTCCAACTCCTCCCTGAGCTCGTTGTTCTTGTTGGTGAGCTCGTCCGCCCGGCTCTCTGCAGCCGCAGCTCGGTTTGCCATTTCAGAGCCTTGCAGACGATTCACATCATCCACAAGGCTGGCCTTCTCAGCAGCCAGTTGCTTGCACTTGGAACCGAGCTCGCTGTTCTGTGTACGAGCCGCCTGCTCGCTCTCGTACATAGCCACAGCATAGCTGAATGCCTGCCAAACAACAACAATCGTAAGTACCTAGTAAGGAAAAGTAAAACACTTAAGCAGATGTGAGCAGATACTTACATCCATAAGTTTTATCATGGCGACCTGGCCGCCATGCTGCTGCACAAAAGCTTTGGCCCGCTTGTTATCCATAGGGGGCACAAAGCTGTGCATGGCTTGCACCATGGCGGGCTGACACTCTGCCCGCACATAGCTGAAGCCCTCAGGATAAGCAATCCTGGGGCCGGATGTCGAGGCCGATGCAGAGGCGGGCTCCACTGCTGCCCGCACAGTCGCTGACGGTGCGTTCGGTGAACGCACGGTTACAGGACGAGCCGCCTGTGCGGGCTGAGTCCCCCCGCTTCTTATGCGCCTAGCAAGGGGGACCTCATCCTCCTCGCTCTCTGTCTCCTCACGTGCACGCCTACGTGCGCTGGGAGCCGCTGTCTCAGCCCGTTGGTCATTGCGCGGCCGGGACGTTGAGCTCGATCCGCGGTGTGACGAGCTGCGCGATATTGGCGCTGGTGGGGGCCGCTCGTCAAATCGGGTTTGTCGTTGTGAGGCGCTGCCCGCCCCGTGACCTCGTGAGCCTTGTGCTCGTTGCTGTTGGCGTTCCAAAATGCTGCTCATTTCTCCTGCACAAAAAAAGGCATAAGACTCAGCTCGACTAGAATTAGTGCTATCTAATAAAGTATACCTTCTGCGAACAGATTTGTCATATCGACAAACCCGAACACGGCGAGATGCTCCGAGGTAACCAGGGCTTCTAAATCTATAAGACCCTCCCTCTGCGTGTACTGAAGCAGCTGGTTCTTCAGATCGACATCCCGGGGCAGCAGCTGGGGGTAGTTGATGTGGGCGTTTGGCGTGCGCCACTCAGACAGCCGAGCAGCGAGGTCGTTGTTTATCCTCTCTGCTCGTGTGTCGCGAACAAAGATAAACTGTCTCTTCCACCTCGCCACTTTGTTCCTCACATTTTTGAAGAGCTGGCTCTTATCCCTCCCAGAGAGGTAGTACCACTTCGCTCCTCGTGAGTTCGGGCACAACCGGCACTGGAATAGCGACCTGAACACTATCGCTTTAGCAGGCACCTCCAATCTTACGCACAACAGCATAAAGCTTATGATGAACCTTATGCTGTTGGGCGTTAGCTGTGTCAGTGCCAGCTCGTATTCTACCAGCAGGTCGAACACCAATCCGGGCAGGGGAAACCGCAGGCCGGCGTCGAAGTGGTCCACATACACTGGGATCCAGCCTGTTCGCGACACCGTGCACGCCCTTTCATTCTGCTCGCCAGTCCGCAGCAGTATGGTTTTGGGGATGTGGTACGCCCTCACCATCTCCACGAGTCTTTTATACCCACTTATTGAGGGCGCACAATCCGCTACCTCATGATGTAGGATTGCCCGGAACCTAAATCCGGCGGGCAGGTCCTTCGGCGCCTTTCGCAAATTGCTCAACCTGCCCGGTATGGTTCTGCTCTCCCATTCTTCCATTATAGGTCGATCTGAGACATGACTCACTACATCCCCTGCCCCCTCCTCGCGGCTTGGTGTCCCCTCGGACGAGCTGCTCGACGGCGCACTAGGGTGGCCGCCCCCGTTGTCACTGGTACTGGAACTGGTGCTGCTCTCAGACACCAGTGTTTCCGGCACATCCTGCAACTCCGGCGGCACTATCATTGTGATAGGCTCTACTGCCAAAACCCCTTCCTCTTCTCCCTCTCTGCCCTGGTTACCTCGTTGCTCTGTAAGCTCTCTTAATGAAACCATTTTACCTGAAGATGATGCGAAGTTGATTCGGTGTACTGGTTCTTCAAACTGGAGCGTTTTTGCTTCAGAGAATTTTGGAAAATTTAAGTAAACACAGAAATGAAAAGGAAAGAGGAGACGGTTACGCAGAGAAGGGTATGCTACTGTTAATTGCCGTACGCGTGTTTCTGACGCGCCAACTAGCGTCCCACACGTGGCAGGCGTTTAACGCCCCTCTCGCATAACGTGCGCCGGCTTTAGCTGTCACGTCCCTCAAATGCTGAGCCAGCATTTATGACGGGGAAGGCAAAGAGATATGGGAAGTTCAATCGTATCTCCTCAGAGATTTGCTTGATTCAAAAAATCCCAAGATTCAGCTCGTAACTACTGACGTGTACTCTATACTGCCACACCACCTCGCTATTGTGAGTATACTTACCAGGTCGCCAGATCGGCTCAAGCGTGCCAATTCGTTCACAAGTATAGATCGTATGCTAAAATTCTAAAATTCCCCAAGATTCAGCTCGTCACATATCGTGATGACAACTCACACCAAGCCACAAACCTCTGCATGAATCAACGGGTGCATGAGGTCGCCCTATCTGGCAACACTCCTCGTGCGAGCTGATAAAGTGGTAGTCAAAAACATCAAATCCCACTGCATCTAAGGTCACATCGCTTCACCTCATGATCATAGCTAACTGGCCGACGCCTGGTCGCACTTCGGTAATACTCAAAGGTCAGGTCGTCACATGGACGAGCTGAAAGGTCCTTCTGCGATCTCGTCTGTTGCGAATCACTTCAGCTGGCCGCCACCACAAGCCCACACTAGTGTGGCTAAGGATGTCAGCTCGTCTCTACGCTTTCGGATTCGCGAGCTCGCCTCTTTTCGTCTTACCTCTCAGCTCGGCCATCACCAAATTCAGCAGTAAGCTGTTAAGGCTGCCCGTCATAGTCACCAGCTAGAGCGTTGACCCATGGTCACGTCCGTCCCTGTTCATCAACCGAACACCGGGGGGGGAGTAATGTTGGAATAGGCCCAACAGGCCCAACGCCCAAACAGGACTGTGCAAAACGGGCCTAGGCTACCACCCATTAGCCCAAGCTGAAGGAGCATCAGTACAAGCATACCCACGTGACCAAGGCCACGTGGGTCAAGGGGATGCTTACACATGCAAATGCATGTCAGCACCAAGGGACTATAAATACCCCCCAACTACCTCCGATGAAGGTAATTAATCTCTACGCTTCTCTCTCTGCAATTACTCCTTGAGAGCACCTCTCTCTAGAATATTGAGTATTGCTGACTTGAGCGTTGGAGTGTTTTCCCCGAGGAAACATCCTCGGGATTTTCAGGTGTAGAGGCAGCTGAAGACTTCAACAGTGTTGGACTGCGTAGCTGCCGAAACATGCCTGAAACTTTTAAAGTTTTTTGTGGTGATAAAGATTATTCTTGAACTTTACTCATTGTTTTTAATCAAGCGTGACCGATACTAGATGCATGAATGCTGCCAAGAAGAAAATGAATACGAAGCTGTTCTTGCTTAAGTAAGCTGACTTATATAGGGGAGTAGCATTCCTTAGTTAAGTTATTTGACAGTTTGTTCTGTGGTTGTATCAATATGTTTAAGAGGGTATTTGTTGTTTTTTGGTACTTGAAGACTAGGAATTGAATCTTAAACTTATGGTTAAAAATATAAGTAATTCTATCATCAGACTATATGACTGACAGATAAAAAGGTATTTGTTACTTATTTGTGTTTGGTATTAGGTATTATTGTAGATGTAAGTTTGGTTGATTTTACTATTCCAATTTGCATTTCGGGCAATTTTCAGTTATGTATCTAAAAGGAGAATTAATATAATGAGGTTGAATTTTATTTTATGCTTTAACGGTTTGATATTAAGTTGGCAAGAAATTTGAGGATGCTGGAAACATGATTCACACAATTATATCTAGATTCAGTCTCATCTAATGGTAATCATGCATGATTGGGTGTGAATTAATATGCACGAAAGAATTATGTATGAAAAGAAAAAAATTTTGTAATTCTCAATCATTTGCTGTGTAGAAAGCATTAGATCAAATTACATCCGAAAGTTAAATAGGAAACTATAGGGAGTGGAAGCTCATCCATTGATACCAAATATCACTTAGGTATTGTTTGTATTGGAGGTGTCGGACGGAGAGGGAGGGGGAGTGAGAGGGGGCTGTCTCCTTCCTCCTGTTTGGGTTTCCAAAGAGGCAGAGGGGGAGGGAGATGGACTGATTCGGACTCCCTTCAACCACCCTCAAATCTGCAGATTTGCAATCTGCTCGATTTGGGGGGTTTGGGAGGGATTTGAGGGACTGTTTAGATTAGATTAAATGTAATTACAAAATTAACCTTAATTTTTAAATCCATTACAAGTTTAAAGGGTAAATTTGTAAATTTAAAATTAATTTAAATCCTTCCCTTCCTTTTACCTTAATTATCCAAACATAAAATAATACAATCCTTCCCTTCCCTTCCCCTTCCTCATTTTTATTTA